TCCTCTCGTGTTTCTTCTTCTCGCACGCTTGACTTGCCCTTGTCGCTGACGTCCAGTTCCTCATCGCCTGTATCGGCGGGATCCTCTTCATCACTGTCATCAAACATATCTTCGTCGCTAGCGTCAGAGTCGCTGGTATCGGGGTCCTCTTCGTCGCTAGACAAGATTACCTGCGGCTCATCCAGTACATAGTAATCTTCAATCTCGTCAATCTCGTCATTTTCCGCGTCTTCTACTTCCGACAAGCAGCGTATGCCTCCTCGTACTTCTCTTCGCGGGACAGGTTAGTCTCGGCGTGGAACCTGTCGGTACACACCTCATCAAGCGGGCTGAGGGGCGGCATAGTCGCAGATATTGTCGACGTTCTGGTAATGGAGTGGTGGGGGGGGGGGGACAACCGTTAGAGTAGATATCTATCCAATCGACACTGACTTCGCGTTCGACCGAGTCCCTGTTTATTCTAGCGTCTCCGCTGTACACATGTGCCCCGCAAAATGTAACCCCAAATCGACAACCCGGATGTGTTCCCGTATCCGTCGACCAACCATGGAGTTGAACCGCCATCACGAAGAGAGTCTCAAAGTGGAGACGGTTGTACCTGACGTGAGCAATCATTTGCGCGATGCATCCTTACGAGCCGTACTAGTATTGATATTTTGTAGACTGCCCATATCGATGAGCGTCAACTACATACTCCCAAGCCAGCCTAGAGGCGTCGGCAACAAGAGAGGCGCCAGCGACGAGACACTGTGAAGTCAGAAAATGCTTGCAACTCGGACAGCGTTCACGAAGAAGATGCCTTCACGCAGCACTCCGCAAAGGAGGAGATTTCTATATTGTATTCAGATACTGGTACTGTTCGCGGGTCTCAAAGGATCACGATGTTCGCAACCTCCACAACAGTGTGAACCACGACAAGTTCATTCTCCAGCGCGCCGAGCTACAACGCCTCAAGAATCCGCCTTCCGGTCCGCCAGGCCCTTGAAGCTCGTCAGACTCGTCAGATTCTTCCGGAAGCTCTGATTCAGGTAGTGAGACCATGAAGAAGGTCGGCACGATCGTCGCTGAGTTCGCAAGGGTGGGCCATGTCAAGACCTATGACACCAAACGGAACAATCACAAAGTCATTGGCAAGAACGGTCACAATGGCATCGTTGCGGCTCGCAACTACACCTCTGTGTTGGACCGTGTCTGCTTTTGCAACGAACGTGGGAGTCGCTCCATGGTCAAAAAGCAGTCTGCAGCAACATCCGTAGAGGTACCAGATCAGCTATGACTTTGAGCCTGCACGCGGAGCAAGACGCCGCGGAGCATGGCGCTCAATTGTCTACTGCTTTCACCAAGGAATTCTTGCTGTGTAGCGGCAACAGCTGCAGGAATGACCCAATCTAGTCTATGTATCGCGGACTTCTAGATGTCAACATCGGAATGTTCTGCGACCCTAGTTATGGGAGACATGACTTGAAGGTGCTGGATAACGTTGGGGCAATGGGCAAAGGTGTATGCACTTCTATGGGGAAGGTACGGCTTCGTAAGGCTCTTGGCCACATTTTGTAAATAACGACATGGATTTAAAGATACACTTTCAAACTCAATAGCTACATGACATGTCAAGATGTGTGTATCTATGTGTAGGTGAAAGTGGGGCAGATGATGACATAAACGCTGCACACGCCGCGGAGGAGCGACTTACCGACCTCGGGAGCTGGTTATCGACGGATGCGCACCTGGCATTGCGGGGAGAGTTCGGCTGTACACCCTGCTGCTATGAAAGGCAACCCGGATTCACTTTCCCTATAGCCGCAAGTGCCGGTTGGTTACTACGTGGTTTCTTCTTTGATTAGGTGCAATTCCTATTTCCTGATCCTGCAGAAGACCTGTTCAACTCCAAGTGCGTCTTCCAAGGTTGCGTTGAGCTTACCTTGCTCCCGATCATGTTCTCTCGTCGCGCGCTTTCACGCCTCCCAACATTGAGTGCTCGCTCGTCCGTCGCGCGCGCGGCCCCTCTTTGTACGAGAATGTCGTCGCCAGTCAGCCAAAGTAAAGTCGCAGCACGGCGGCTGCATGCCACGGCGCAGCACCTGAAGCCCGCATCGTCAGCGGCCGAGTCGTACCCCATGAACCACGAGCCAATCCAATCCCCCGCGGACACACCAAACTTCCTCGACAACAAGTTCGTGGCATCGAAAGCAACACAATGGATAGATCTACACGACCCCGCGACCAACAACCTGGTTACACGCGTGCCGCAGAGCACAGACGAGGAGCTCAAGGCCGCGGTGGACAGCGCCGAGAAGGCCTTCAAGCCATGGAAAGAGACCAGCTTGCTCCACAGGCAGCAAATTCTGTTCAAATACACACACTTGATTCGCGAGAACTGGGACCGTTTGGCTGCTAGCATCACCCTGGAACAGGGCAAGACATTTGGAGACGCGCGTGGTGATGTGCTCCGTGGCTTGCAGGTTGCGGAAACCGCATGCGGTATCACGACGCAAATGACTGGCGAAGTCCTCGAGGTCGCCAAGGACATGGAGACACGCAGCTACAGAGAACCATTGGGTGTTGTAGCTGCCATTTGCCCTTTCAGTAAGTGCACGACTGGCGGTAAATGAGGTTTGTGCTAATGTGCTACCCCAGACTTCCCCGCTATGATTCCCCTCTGGACCATCCCCATCGCTGCTGTTACCGGTAACACTGTCGTTATCAAGCCTTCGGAACGCGACCCCGGCGCTTGCATGATCCTTGCCGAGCTTGCGGAGAAGGCTGGATTCCCTGCTGGTGTCATCAACATTGTACACGGTTCAGCCAAGACTGTTGACTTCATCATCGACGAGCCCCGCATCAAGGCGATAAGCTTCGTCGGTAGCAACAAGGCTGGAGAATATATCTACTCGCGCGCATCAGCCCAGGGCAAGCGTGTTCAGGCCAACTTGGGCGCAAAGAACCACGCTGCTGTCCTTCCCGACTGCAACAAGAACCATGCTCTGAACGCGATTGCCGGTGCTGCCTTTGGTGCTGCTGGTCAGCGATGCATGGCTTTGAGCACTCTGGTCATGATCGGCGAGACCAAGGAATGGGTTCCTGAGATCGCTGAGCGCGCAAGGGAACTTTCGATGAACGGCGGTTTCGAGGAGGGCGCCGATCTTGGTCCCGTCATCAGCCCTCAGTCCAAGAAGAGGATTGAAGACCTTATTGCGAGCGCCAAGGAAGAGGGTGCAACTATCCTCCTTGACGGACGTGGTCAGAAGCCTCCGTCCGACAAGTACGCCAACGGCAACTGGGTAAGTCTTGCTGATATGTGGGGATGATCGTATACTGACTGGGCTGTTCAGGTCGGTCCTACCATCATCGCCAACGTCAAGCCACACATGAAGTGCTACACCGAGGAGATCTTCGGCCCTGTCCTTGTCTGCCTAAACGTCGAGACCATCGACGAGGCCATCGACATGATCAACGCAAACGAGTACGGTAACGGTACCGCAATCTTCACTCGCTCAGGTGCCACTGCCGGCAAATTCCAGCGTGAGATTGAAGCTGGTCAGGTTGGTATCAACGTGCCCATCCCCGTACCTGTAAGTTTCCTTCGGAACCAAACGTAATGAATGAAGGCTAATGTCAGCAGCTCCCCATGTTCTCCTTCACTGGTAACAAGAAATCGGTCGCAGGCGGCGGTGCAAACACTTTCTACGGAAAGCCAGGTCTCCAATTCTACACACAACAGAAGACAGTAACAAGTCTTTGGAGGAGTGAAGATGCGGTCGCGACGAAGGCGTCGGTCAATATGCCTACACACAGCTAGTGGGGAGACGTGAAAAAGGATTAAGCATATGTAATGGATATGATGAGCATATAGCACTCATGAACGAATAAATGGTGGCTAGCGCGCAAGGGTCGTGTTCACGGGGAGCAAAGTGATGCAAGCCCACCCGAGTTAACAGTGGAAATCTTGGCGCGTTGGAAACGTCGGCAAAGCCGCGCCGTGCCTATCGAAGTGCTTGACGTATCCTAGGTGACGATGATAGTATCCACAGCCCCGCGCGTAACCCATGTCGCGATCTTCCATGCCTCTTGTTAAAGATGGGATTTGACACACGAAGAACAGCGGCAAAATGCAAGCTTTCCATGTTTGTCAGAGATTCTGCAAGAGTCCGGCTACGCGGCTAGATTTCTGCTGGTTGCTGGATTGAAGGGACGCCTCAGCCACTAGTCTGCATGGTGTACCATAGATAGCATTTGCGGGATGCACGACGAAGATCAAAGGTGCTGCGACAGCAGTGCAGGTGCCGTGATAGCCAGATTGTGCTGTGCTGCGCAATTAACAGGTGGTGGTTCTCTTGAATGTAATTGAGATGGTGAATTGAGTTTCGCGGTGGCTGGCGTGGAGGCGCGGGTGAGAAGATAGCGTCCGCTTCCGGAAGTAAACTATTGACGCTGTCTAAATTTGCCAGCTAACGGGAGATACGAGGGGCGTTTGGGTTGAACTAGTAGGCTGTGCAGTGAGACTTGACCCTCCATTGTCACAGATGAACGGACGGTCGCGGTGGAGTGGGAGTATCATTGTAGAGTAAGGCTGGGAAAAGTGCACGGCAGAGCCATAAGAGTAGATAGACACCCTTGCTCGGTACTTTTGTTTCAGAGTGGGTGATGGTGATATTCCCCAACCGTTTAGTCTGGTCGTGGCTTGATGACGAGTCGCGTCTCGGCGTCGAAGAGTGAATGGACCGCGCGTCACTACCTAGGTACGTTGTCTTACTACGCAGCCTAGACTTGGTCCGCCTTCGTGTGTTAACACCCAGTTTCCATAGCTCTACCGTCACGCATTCTTGATCCTTCATCAATTTGCTTCCGCGACATCTCTCGTCTCAGTTACTACGATACGCCGCACGCTCCACTTGCTCACCACGCGCCACATTACAGCTCCAGCTCCACCGAGTTACCCGGCTCGCACGACTCGTTAGACGCTCCGCAGAAAAAACTGGGTATCGCCCATCGTTGCAAGAATGGAGCAAGCGGCACAGCAGCCATCGCGCCCGCGCGGTCTCAGCTTCCACAGCAACAAGAGCAACAAGAGCCGCGAGACTCCCGCGTCTCCCAAAAGCCCGACCAAGCACCAGCGCAAATACTCTGACCACTACGACCCAAACTCAAAGGCGAACCCCAACGCCGCCATGAACGAACAGCAGCCCAGTATGCCGTCGTGTGCACCCTGTCTATCTTATCGTGGCTAACCTGCCCCAGTCGCCGAAGCCCTCACCAAGCCCACTCTCGCCTCTCTCCGCTCCTTCAACCATACCGACTCAGCCGGTAATCCCATTGGTAAGTCGTGTCGTCAGCGCTGCGTACTTTCGTTATCTAACCAGTACCAGCCGATCCCGATCTCTCCAACCCCACGCGCTCGCGATGGGAGCGACCACTCGACACGATCCGCTCCTTCGAGGCTGCCATTGATGGCGAATACAGACGCCGCGCGCAGTCAATGCGCGCCGACCAGACCGACGTCATGAGCTACGCGAGCCGACGGAGCAGCTACTACGGCGGCGGCGGCGGTGGTGGATACAACGACCAGAACCGCTTCTCGTCCGTCAGCGGCTACTTTCCCCAAAGACAGACGCAGCGCGACAGCTATGTCGACGGCTACGGCAACGGCGGGCCTGTTGGCGCACAGCCACAACGCATGCGATACGGCAACCGCATGCAGTCCGACCCGGGCTGGAACAACAGACAGAGCGCCCATGGTGGTGTCTACCCCATGAACGGCTACCAACAGTCGCGCGACACCGTCAACACCAACGGCTCGAATGGCAGCCACAGCGACGGCCCATACTCCAACGACCACAGCAACAGCGAGAATAGCTCCATCGAACGCGGCATGCCCGTGCAACCCCCACAACAGGACATGGGTGCACAGTACGGATTTAATGGATTCGGAAGGGGCCCCATCATGGAGGAGTACGCACAGGGGTCGGGTAACTACTCACAAGGACCACCGCAACCGCCCGCTCACGCCATGCCACCACCGCCCCCGAGGCACTCCACCCAGGCAGCACCGATTAAACTCGGTGGTGGTGGACCGCCCGCTACCGAGAACACAAGACCGGCTATGCTTTCGAAGAAGAGCAGCGATGCTGGCGAGAAGCGCAAGAGCTGGTTTAAGAGACGGTTCAGCAAAGACTAAGCCACGAGCAATGATGGGGAGGAAGATGGCGACTAGCTATAACGAACGGCGCTCCTGGGAATCCATTCGACAACGAGAGGCGCGAGCTTGCCATGATGATGAATGAAGATCTTCACCATGGGGCTCTGGAGTCCTCTGGTCGAATCACTGTTGCGCGAGCCTGCGTATACAGCATGTTGGCGTTACTGTGGCGTTTTAGGAATGTGGAAAGGGTATATACCGCGATTGTCACTCCTTGTAGTTTTGAAATGTGCTGCTACAGTAGAAGTTCGCTCCTTGAGCCGGCTGGTAATGTGGTAATCATAATGGTTGATGAGTCAATTCGTGTTCGGTTTCATTGTTTCAAGTGATGAGTGATTCAGTCACTCTCTAGGTATTATGACCACCCGTAGTTCCGCAAGAACACATGTTTGCGTGTACTTTGCACAGTCGAGCCGATCCTTCTAGCCATGCATCGATACCCCAGCCATTTCGACGAGCAAGCCCTACAACTTCTTCTTGGACTTCTCTGCTTCTTCTCGCATCTCCTCCTGATCATCTTTGAATGCCATGATCACATATGCGATCAAGACCACGTTCGCCATGAGTGCTGCCAAACCACCCGCCCATGTTGCGTTGCCTGGGTAGAGTCAGTGCCAGTTCCAAATCTCTTATGAACAACCTACCCTTGAAGACAAAGTTGACTGTGAAGAAGTATGTGCCAATTGGCAGTGTGATCATGGCAAATGTGAAGCTCATCAACTTCCAAATCACCGAGCTGTTGCCATTGTCAGCCATTGCACTATACCCATGCTATCCAGCATAAAGGCGACTCACGATGGCACCGCTGGTGAGGTGTTGGACGGCTCGGGGGCAGCCTTTCCATCATAGTCTAGAGACGACTTCTGCTCGTTTACGGTTCTTCTAGTCGTCATTCTGCAGATGGGGCCTGTAGGTCGTGGTGTTCTGGCTCGTGAGGAAGCGACGGATCAGGCCCTCAGCCGAATTCAGCAACGTAATAGGCTCTCAGAATGGTCCAAGCTCAATATCTTTACGCGTAGTAAAGTGGTTTTAACGCGTTGTGTTTGGTGATCCGCGTCGCCAGGCAAACCCTTCCAAGGCTCCTTCCTGCCTACGCTCTGTGGGTGTTTTAGCATACCCGCTGCTTTGTCCACTTCGCCTTTGTTAGTGCGCTTGGCCGTTGTTCTCTGTGTCTTCTCTTTGCGCTGCTCTACTTCTTCCGCCCGCGAACGAAGCGGCGAAATTGACTACTACATCCACTACCACGACGGCATCCTTACTCTGCTCAACTCGCTGCCATCGTGCAGTCGCACAATGTACCGCCGCGATCCCATACTGTCGTCTTCTCCGCCCCCGATGGCACCGCGCGCCTCTCCGCACAGCGACGACGAGCGCGATACCTACGTCACGCAGCCTACGCAAATCCTTGGGGAGCGCTCGCCCTTCTTTGCGGCGCCGTCTGATACCACGCAGCCCACGCTCATAGTCACGCCGCGCGCGCACCCAGTCCAAGCCACGGCTTCTTCGTCGCAATTACAAGTCCCGCGTTCGTCGCCCGCCCCTCAGCGCGACTCGTCGCCTGTCATGTCGCCGCCGTCGCAGTCGCAACGCCCATACGGGGGCTACAGCAACCCAATGGCACCGCCTGGCACAGGCTTCTTCCCCCCACAAGCAGTCCGCAAACCAGTCGTCGACCTCACCTCGGACGACCCACCTGTTGAGCGCGACCCAGACGAAGACGAATCGGAGTATAGGTCTAATATACCCTTGTCCAAGATCGAAATGGCATCCATGACATCGAGGATCGAAGAGACACCGCAGAAGCCGACCTGGGATCTTTCGAGTTATAAGTACGGCAGCGACCAGTCGCGTAAACGACCAGCGGAACGATTCGAGTCGAGTACACCACCTAAGCGGCAGAAACCTATGCAGCCGCAAGGGGGGCCTTCACGCGCTATACCTATAGACTTGACCGAAGACAAGGAGATGACCATGGAGGATATCCACGACTTGAGCACGTATACCAAAGTCAAGCGATTACAAGCTATATACCCGAACCGCTCTGTCAAGCAAATTCACGATGCTTTGACAAAGCGAAAAGGCAACTTCAACGACGCCTCCGAGTATCTGGCGGAACAAGAGTCTGAGGACGAGCTGCTGCGGTCTCCTCCTCGCCCAGGAGTAGCCCGTACAGCATCAAATCCAGTTGTAAAGAAGACGGCACAACGCGGTCTTAAGCAGCCTGTACAATCGCTGCAGAACAAGTACTCGAAGTTAGGCGCGACTCAGAACAGCCCAGTCACGATCGATAGCCCTGAGAAGGAACCACCGAAAGCCAAACGTCGACTCAAGAGCGGAAAGGATCGCAAGAAAGTCGTCTTCTCGCCCTCCCCCGAACCCGCACCCGTACGACCGCAACAGAAAACAAAGAAGGAGGCGGCGATCGTTGTCTCCTCTGACGAGGACGAGGGTATTGCTGCGGATCTCATGATCGACGACGATTCGGAAGCAGGTGGTTCGGTTGTGGAGAACAGCTTTGACGATAGTAAATTGTTGAACCTCTTCAACACTTGTACAGTGGAGGAGTTGATCGACTTATCTAGTCACAAAGAAGAGGACATTAAGGAGATCTTCAAGCACCGCCCATTCAAGTCTCTTGATGCTATTCGCAAGGTCCATGTGGATCTCACGCCAGTAGAGAAGGGCAAGAAGAAGTCTCGCAAGCCACGTATAACAACCGGACAGCGACTTGTGGAATCTACCGAGGCCATGTGGAATGCATACAACACCATCGACTCGGTCGTTCAGCAATGTGAGGCTCTAGGCAAGCCGATGGTTGCGGGCATGGCAAAATGGGGCATTGATATCTTTGGTGCTTCTACAGAGGATGGAGTCGAGATTACAAGTCTCGATGATGCTAGCGACACGAACTCTTCTCGCGACTCAGGTTATCATACCCCTCGGAGCCCGAATGGCAGCGATACGGAGCCTAACAGCATACGAAAAGCGGCCACTCGTACGAAGCTTTTGACACAGCCTGCGATCATGAACGATGATATTGAACTCAAGGACTACCAGGTTGTAGGTCTTAATTGGCTGAACCTCTTATGGAAGACTAAAACCTCGGGTATTCTGGCCGACGATATGGGTCTGGGAAAGACATGCCAGATCATCGCTTTCCTGTCGCACCTCAAAGAAGAAGGCGTCGGAAAGCCTGCGCTTATCGTTGTGCCTGGATCTACACTAGAGAACTGGTGTCGTGAGTTTGAGCGCTTCTCCAACACGATCAACTTTACGCCCTACTATGGATCACAGGCGGAGCGGTTCTCTCACCAGGAGAGCATTCTCCAAAACATCCGCCAGGGAACGTGCGATGTGATCATTACGACATACGACCTTACCTTTAGAAAGGACGACTCTTCGTTCTTGAGAAAATGCAGGCCTGAGATCTGCATCTTTGACGAAGGGCATATGCTCAAAAACGCCAACACGATCCGGTACAAGAGCTTGATGAAGATTCCTACGACTTGTAGAATTCTGTTGACAGGAACGCCACTTCAGAACAGTCTTCAGGAGCTCATGTCGATCCTGGGTTTCCTCATGCCGCAAGTTTTCTATGGCGACCAGCAGGAAGAGGTTCAGGAGATGCTGCAGATTTTGTTCAAGCACAAAGCCAAGACTATGGAGAGCGACTCGCATAGCTCTCTGCTTTCTGCTCAACGTATCCAACGCGCTCGTACGATGCTGACACCGTTTATCCTCCGACGAAAGAAGGCTCAAGTGCTCAAGCATCTGCCGAAGAAGACGTCCCGTGTCGAGTACTGCAATCTTACCGATACGCAAAAGACGCTTTACAACGAGCAGTTAGCCAAGCAGCGCAAGATTCTTGAAGACCGAGCAGCAGGCATACCCGTCAAGGACCATGCCAACGTTATGATGAAGCTGCGACAAGCAGCCATCCACCCCCTACTCTTCCGCCACCGGTACAACGACGACAAGATCCGGAAGATGTCAAAGGCGTGTCTCAAAGAAGACATGTTCGCCGAAAGCAGCCCAGACATCATCTACGAAGAACTCCAGCTATACCAAGACTACCAATGCCACCAGCTCGCCTCCAAGTACCGCGCGCTCAAGAAATTCGAGCTCCAAGACCAGGAATGGATGGACTCTGGCAAAGTCGCCGCGCTCCTCGCTTTGCTGAAAAAGTATAAAGAGAACGGCGACCGCGCCCTAGTCTTCTCGCAATTCACGTCCGTCATGGACATTCTCGGCTGGGTCTTTGACGACCACGACATCAACTTCATGCGCATGGACGGCTCCACACCGATCCAAGAACGCCAGTCCCTCATGGACGTCTTCTACCAAGACGAATCCATCCAACTCTTCATGATCAGCACCAAGAGCGGTGGCGCAGGTATCAATCTTGCCTGCGCAAACAAAGTCATCATCTTCGACTCAAGCTTCAACCCCCAGGATGACATCCAAGCAGAGAACCGCGCGCATCGCGTTGGTCAGACAAGGGAGGTCGAGGTCGTCAGACTAGTCACCAAGGGAACAGTCGAAGAGCAGATCTACGCGCTTGGTGTCAGTAAACTGGAACTGGATAAGATGGTCCAGGGCGAGGAGAGTGAGGAGGGCGCCAAGGGCAAGGGCAAAGGGAAGAAGAAGGACGAGGTGGCCGGTGCGGCTGATAGTCTGAGCAAAGCGGAGGAGGCGGGTATTGCGGCTGTGGAGAAGATGATGATGGCGCAGCTTAGTGCGCCGGCTGCAGAGGTGGAGAAGACGGCTGAGGCTGTGCATGGTGAGGGGGATGTTAAAGAGCAGTTTTTGAATGGCTTGAAGAAGGCGGGTTTGGATGTTGCTGCCTAATTCTATTCCACCGGCATATAATGGATGGAGTGGAGTGTGCGAGGTGTTGTTGGCACAGATTCCAGATGGCCTTTGGCATTCAGAGATTTTATAGATGTTTTTTAGTTGGTTAGATGTGGTCTTTTCTGTACTGCATATGCAGAGTCAGCGTCCAGCGATGGCGTTGAAATGATGCGATTTATCTGCACATGCAGTGTTACGGCATTTGCCCAAACTTGAATTATGTACTACTATCTTGTACTTGAAACTATATACAGCGCTTGCTCCTAATATCCACACATACTCTGCGTTCTCTCTAGTCCTTTACACTCACTCCAGCTTTACTCGCGTCCTTGGCAGATTGCTTCTGCGTCTTCGGTGTTTCTTCTTCTTCCTCTGAGCTCTCCTCTTCATCATCCTCATCGCTATCTTCCTCTTCTGAACTCTCCTCTGCTTCGGCTTCTTTCTTGGCTTGCGTCGCGGGTTTCCCTTTTGTAGCCAATGGTGCGGGTTTCTTGTCCTCTTCGCTGTCCTCCTCACTCTCTTCTTCCTCGTCGCTACCCTCTTCTTCTTCACTGCTCTCTTCGGTCGCTGCAGTCGCTTTTGCCGAGGCTTTAGCTGCTGCTGCTGGTTTATCCGCATCGGCATCCTCTTCGTCCTCAGAGCTCTCCTCCTCGGACTCTTCTTCCTCGCTATCTCCATCCTCCTCATCGTTCTCCTCGTCTTCCTTCTTCGTCGAGCTTATCGGTCCAGCACTAAGCGCAGGGTTCTTCGCGTCGTCGTGCATGGACGGAGGCGCATGTACGGGTTTCTGTAGATCGGAGAGCTTGGGAATGCCCGGTTTCGCGGCCGCTTTGGTATCTTTTGTGCTTTTCGACTTTGTATCTTTGCTCTTTGTGTCTTTGCTGCTTGAGGATTTCGACGACTTTGATTTTGCGACGGGCTTTCCGAGACCGAAGAGTCCTCCTGTTGCGGGTTTTCTTGTAGACTTTGACTTTGCATCTTTTGAGGATGTGGTAGTCTTTGTCTTGGTGTCTTTTGCCTTGGAGTCCTTTGCTTTCGCGTCTTTTGCGTCCTTTGCCTTGGTGTCCTTCGCCTTGGTGTCTTTGCTAGTGCTTGATGTAGCGGCTTTCGCGTCTTTCGTGCTCTTCGCATCTTTCGTCGTTGCGGTCGAGGCAGCGGGCTTGGCCTCCGCTTTGGCGGTCGAAGCAGTAGCCTTTGTATCTTTGGTCGCGGTCTCGGTCGCGGTCGGTGTAGCAGGTGTCGCAAGCTTCGGCGTCTCGGGTAATGGGACAGATTTCGGCGAGAGGATGCTGCTAGGATCTTCCTTTGTAGGGCTCTTCTTCGACGTCGCCGAGGTCGGTGTGTTGGTCTTCTCAGCCAGCAATGGGTTCGTAGTCTTGATGTTGCTTGGAGTAGGCTTCATCGACGCGGCCTTCTTCGCAGCTTCCGCGCCTAGCTCACGGAGCGCCAGGTTTGTCTCTGGACTGGGTATGATGACATTCTCCTTCTTCGCAGCTGCGCTTGTGGATGAGAAGGAGGAGGTGGTCGTAGCTGGCGCAGCCATGGGCGGTGGGCCGGGTTTCGCAGGAAAGGGCGTGAAGGCTGCCGTGACGCCCAGCGCTTCTCGAATCTCGTCGTACTCGTTCCATTCTTCGATCTCGGTGATGCCCTACAAGACACGCATTAGCTTCCTGTCCCAGCTACGCGCTTTCTCCTATACCTACACCCAGAACATATCCCTCTTTGACTATCAACGGTAGCTTCTTCCCGCTGGCTCTCCGCTGGAACAGCTTCTTTGCGAGCTCATCTGTCGCCGTGTCGACTCCCTTAAAAGGGATCTTGTTCGCCCTTAGGATTGTTTCGATCCGAGATGTGGCAGTAACAATGTGAGAGGACCCGGCGGTCAGCGAGGTAAAGAGGTATATCGTCGGGTCGTTGTCGTAGACGCTTAGTTCGGCCATGACTGAGGCTCGGTCGGGAGTTGCGCGGGGTACGGTGGATAGCTGTGCTATGCCCAAGTCACCGTGGCGAAAGAGGCAGAAAGATTGGGAAGGCAAGCCGGCGTATATTGCGGAGGTTTTATAGGCCTCGAGACGACGACGTGTAGCGATTGTAGTTTCATAAGTCCACGGGTTTCATAACACCGCCCTGACAGGACGAGGGTCTAGTGGGGCGCTAGCTTGGACCCTTTATTTCACAAGAGATCGGCGGGCATGCGCCAACTCGCGAGTCACCATGCACATGTCAAACACCATTTGGGATTTTAAAGTTGAAGATATGTTTGCATTATTCATATCGAGCGAATGACATTACAGATTATTCCAGGAAACATAACTAGTGCCGTTTTTCTCGTGACTACACATTATGCTGGCGTGGGACCATTGGAGTATTTGCTAGCAAGAACTGTCATCAGGGCGTCGCTGACTTCGAATTCCTCGAGGACTGCGCCAAAGCTAGGTTGTGTCAGTGCATGCTCAGCTGAAATCAGTATGATACTAACATACCCGTAGCAGCGGACTTTGGCAAGGAGCTCCTTCTTCACGAGCTTAATGTCCTCTTTGGAAAGATCCCTGAAGCATTCGTCTTGGAGGATCTTCGCCCAGGCCATGATAGGCGTGATTTCCCCATCAAGGGGCAGACGATTGCTGAGATCGAGTAGTTTCATCAAATCCGGCATCTTGACGTCCGGCATCTGATGTGGATACTTCTCCTCGGGGCAATTCGTAATGTGCGCATCGGGAGGTGCCGTTGCCATGAGCGCATGGCCGCTGATGTTTTCGTCGGCCTCGTTGGCGCGGACCATTAGAAACTGCATGTGGTCCATGCAGGGTCGCTCGAGCCTGTTAGACGCAGTCGTCAGAACAGATCTCGTAAAGATAACGAATGACGTACGGAGGCCAAAAAGAATGAAGAAGAAAAGACGTAAGCGCATTACTGCTGGGGCGGAGGAGAAAGATAAGGCGATCGGTCGTACGTTAAGACGAAGTCAATGCCAATCTGGTCATAGTCCATCGCATGCTGGTGATGGTGACCGGACTGCTGGGCTTGTTGTTGTTGAAGAGTCAAGGCTTGACCGTTCATTCCATCATGAGAGCTAGATCCGCGTGTTGGTGGCGATGTATAGCCAGTCGACGCTGATCCTGGCCCGTAGCCTGATATGCTGCCAGTGGAGCTTCCGTATGCGGAGCTGTCGACGCGGCCCATGCCATTGCTCCCCGGGCTGGAGAGATCGAAGGAGATGCCATGTGCCATGAGCAGCTCTCTCAGTCGGCGGTTCTCGTCTGCGAAGGCGTCCCGTTCCCTCGTAGTAGCTGCAAAGGTATCCTTCAGACGGATCACCTCCTGCTCGAGGGCCTTGATGTATAGCTCCTTTCGCTCTCGGTGTGTTCTTGTCAACAAGTCAGTGCGTGATACAATATATAGCTTGGCTGATGTTACCTCTGCGCCTGGCGGTTCAGCTCTTGCCGTCTGGTCAAAGCCGGTTTGCTATCCGGTTTGGGTCCTCTTCTCTTGGGTGGTTGGCCATCTTGCAGGAGTCAGCCACCAGATCGAGGCGATATCTCGATGAACGAACCTCTTGTTGTCTTCTTGTCGGTCAGACCCTTGAAGAATCCAAATTGTGCTAGAGGACTCTTAGATTCGCTTCCTATAGAGTGCCACTGCCCGGTACTCTCCATGTCCGACGCAAATCCAGCCAAGCTGCCCCGCCTGCTGCTGCTCATGCTCACTTCCGAGAAACACTCGGAAGCCCGACGAGAAGCAGCAGGTGAGGGGTACTCGATGGCAGCGCCGGATGGAGGGTAGGTGGGCGCCATGGTCAGCGCATGCGCATTAGGCCAGGACATATAACGAGCATGCGACATGATGTTTCGATATTAGGTAAGAGATGAAAGAAACAAAAAGGAATATTATGTATGTGTGTATGATGAGCTTTGACGAGAAAGGAGAGTAGTGCGGCCATGTATATGTAGTGTCGCCAGCGCCTCGCCGGGTGAGGCACGCAAGCGTTCGCAGGGTCTTTGGCCGTTAATGCATCGATCTCAACTCAACGGCCGGCAACCATGCGAGCCGCGGGGAATGTTGCAACGTTCATGCTAACACGAGCAGAGCTGTCAAGGTTGTCATGGCGAGACTGGTCATGTCTCTGCAGCACGTTTCTGGGAGTGGAGTAACGACGCGAGAAGCTTCAGCAGCGGCGACCCAATGGCGGATGCCATGTCTACGTGCCAAGAACAAACTGTAGGAATCGCGAAGCGGAGCCAAAACAGATACAACTTCAAAACGTGGAGCGATTAAAGCGCTGGAGACTGCCAAGAGAAATTCCACATACCACTGCTGTTGTCGCGATGACTGGCACCCTCGGAGGAGGGGTCGGTTTTGATAGTAGTTGCCATGCTATAGGAGCGGCATTGGCAGCAACGCGCACTTATGGGTAAACGGTTCTCACCCTCGGCGCCGAAATGGCGGAGAAGCCGTCGAGTTGCAGTGAGCGATGCGCTAGACGCAAGTCAGTCCACAGGGCGACAATGAACCCCTGCGCACATCCGAAACGTACAAAAGTCGGGCTCGTCGGCGCGCAGAGATGACGAGTAGACAGAGCCGGTGCCCGCGGTTCTGCCGTGGGGTGTTTGGGTATTTGAGCAGCGAGACTTGAAGGGCACGTCTAGTTGTAGTGGAATGCGGCCGAGGTCCTCCTGTTCCGTGCTTCCGAGTTGGGCCAGACGGCGATGATGAAGAGACGGTTGCAATGGGCGACGAGCTGCCGGTCAATTGAGACAAGCGATGGTGCCCTTGGCGTCGCAGAGTTGAATGTAGCACAGGAGAGGGCACGCTGGTCTGGAAGGACGTGCCAGGGTAGCTCGACTCCTACACTTGCAGTGCGATGTTCAACGCGATTTAGTAGCCAGCCATGCACGCAATAATGCGCTACACACTCGAGATCGTCGGCGAGAACACAGCCCCAGCTAGCGATTTGGAATCTGCCTGCCATCCGGGTCTGGAGGTTGCAAGATGAGGCGGTCAGTGCACAAGATCGAGCCAAACAGCCTTTGGAGCAATCACAGCCAGAGCGCGGAAGCAGCTTGTGATCCGCTGGTGTTTAGCGGCTTCATTCTGCGGCTCTGCAGCTCCTCCGGTCTAGAGCTTGCAGCTGGCGCGCAGTGCAGTGGCGCCGTGCGACACCCAACATCCCAGCTTTACAGCGCAAAAACAAAGGGTCGGCGCGCAAAATACCCCATGGCATTGTGTCATGGGCGATGCATGGCCAGGGCTGGGTGGTATCAAGAAATGGCCCAGCCACCTCGGCCCCGATAGGCCTCGGGCACGCCTTCCTGTGGCGGGTGCATTCTCCTCTACCACACTTCAACGTACTTCGTATAACAGCTATCCACTTAGACATGCAGTTGCCTACTCCGTACGGTCACGCTGTGCGGTATATATATTTTGCGGGGCAGCCAATCGCTATATTTCCTGACGTCGACCCTTACGACATAGCGCCTACTTGAGCGTACCATCACAAAGCAATTAGAAAGCAAGGCTGGTCTCAGGTCCTCCATTGTACTGTATAGTCTGCTCTAGATGCTCTAGAACGGTTGAGTAATCATTGGGCTCCTGCGAGTGCTTATAGCTTTGGCTTGTTGTCGAGGATCTTCTCAATCTCCTCCATGAGCTCCGGTGTCAACTTCTCGAGCAACTTGAGAGCGCCACAGTTGTCCTTTACCTGTTCGGGCTTCGTTGCGCCAAGAATAACAGTAGACACATTCGGGTTCTTAGCTGCCCAGGCAAGCGCGAGTTGAGTCGTGGTGCCTCCAAGTTTCTCAGCAATCTTAGTCAGTTCCTTGACCTTCTTGATCTTAGCCTGTCCCTCGTCGCTCTTCAACGCCTCGATTGAGTTCTTGAAGAATTCGGGGTTAGTCGCGAATCGGGAGTCGGACGGAATGCCATCGTTGTATTTGCCAGTCAGCATGCCCGAAGCCTAAGTGTTGGTACACGCGTTAGCATAGATCTTGGATGTAGTAGGTTCGTTCTGAGTTCTTACCAAAGGTGACCAGATGGTCGTGCCGTACTGGTACTTCTTGTACAATGGAGCGTATTCCTTCTCGAAGCGTTCGCGGTGGAAAGCGTTGTACTGAGGCTGCTCCACGATAGGGGCGATTAGGTTGTACTTCTCGGCGATGTCGCATGCCTCCTGGATCTGCTCCGCAGACCATTCGGATGTACCCCAGTAGTATGCCAAGTTCATCTGGATTGTCTGCGTGAAGGCTTCGACGATCTCCTTCATGCCAACGCTAAACGTACGTTAGTGGGTACTTAGAGCAGAGAGCTAATACATACTCAGGATCGTAGCGATGAGCAAACACAACGTCGACGTAGTCGTGGTCAAGACGCTTCAAGGAGCTCTTCAAACCTTCGACAATGTGCTTCTTGGATAGACCCCTACACATTCGTTAGACAGGTTGGAAGGATGTAAGGCGGCCATCTTACCTAGTGTTTGGCTCCTTCCTCTGAGTTCCGAAGAAGACCTTTCCAGTACTGTCAGTCCCCACTCATGGCATGATGAGACTGATCTTACCTTTGTCGACAAGACGTACTCGTCACGCGGCCATTGCAGCTCCTTGAAAGCCTTGCCCATCTCAAGTTCGCACTCACCAGCTGCGTATACCTCGGCAGTGTCGAAGAAGTTGATGCCATGGTTCCAAGCCTCTTGCATGCAGTCCTTCACGATGGAACCCTTCTGCGTTCCTCCGTATGTCAACCAACCTCCCAAGGACAGGACCGAGACCTTCAACCCAGCGGGTCCAAGGCGACGGAACTGCATGCTATCTTGACATTAGCAAATGCTCAGACGAAACAGATGTAGGAGTACACATGTCAGATTGGGAATTGAACACAACCACGCATCGAGGCAGACTGTTTTGTACTAGGAATTGACGTGACTTACTCCTTGGGGTCAAACTTTGTCTCGACGGCAGGCATTTTGGAAGTTTATTACGAGTTGTTTGCAGACGAGGATTTTTGGTTGTGTATGAGCTTAGAATGAGGGGCAGGACACCTAGGCATAGAGAAGCAGTTGCCCCACCGTTGACGGCAACTATGATGAGGTCACGTCATGCGGGGTTAAGGCAAACTCCGTAACCGCACAAGGTAGAAGAATTGCCGTATGCCTCGAATAAACACGACTGAAAGATTTGGGAATGATCGGCTACTGTACAAACCAAGCGGCGCAACGTTCCGCCTTACTTACGGCTATCACATTTGCGGCGGGTCAGGACTGAGACACCTGTGGACGAGCTCGTAAGCCGCAACAACCTTTCTTCCGCCCGCGACCAACCAGAATGCCCCATTCAGCTCTTCGCTGGATGCCTATCGTCCCAGAACTACCCTATAATTTTGTTGCGGTGGCACTAGAAGCTGTTTAAACTCCTGTCTAACTCCTGTCCAGCGGCATTGGCGAAAGCTTGACCTCGCTCGTTTCATGTTTCGAACATCCCCGGCAGCTCGGTGGCGCAGAGCCAATCACAGTCGCACAACGCGTATTCACGTGCATTGTTCGTCACCTCGCACAGGCAATGATTGGCCGTCACTGCTCGTTGATCTGGGGTATACGGTAAGACGGGTTCCTGTATTGTGCTGACGGCGCACCTGAAGGGGGACCCTTAGGCGCGCCACAACGCGCGCCTAAGCTCATATATCTTGGCCGTCACCTTCCTTTATTACTTCTATACACTGCCTCCTCGCGGTCTCTCAATCCCTTGTTTAGATCGCTAGCTTCTGCAGGCCTGAAGCAAATTCCATTCAACGTCACTCATTCAAGAACACTGTTCCGACCGCTCACTTTACAATACAACTTCTGCACTCGGCCTATTCAAGAGCACTTTCTTACTTAAGACCATCACCTCGCACCAGACTTGGCCTCAAACAGCTCATTATATATATATATATACATCCACATCATCAAAGAACATCGACCTTCCAACTATATACCTATATACTCCACCAATCAGCCGATCAACAACATGGGTTTCAAGAAGAACATCCTCGTCGCAAGTGCCTTTGCACTCTGCGCTTTCGCAGCACCTGTCCCCGCCCGGGGCCCCGATTGCGACCTCGAAGACGGTGCCCCGGCAGCTCCCCCAGCAGATGCCCCAACCACCGAGGCGAGCCTGACTGCTGACAACTTGATCGCCATCGCCCCCACCACCGCGTCCTGCGACGGTGCACCATTCCCCGACGAGTGTGCAGATGCAACTGCAGCCGCTACTGCTATCAACAAGGCCTTCGAGACCTACAAGATCACATCCAAGGGCGAGAGGGCCGCGATCGTCGCGTATGAGCTCTTCGAGAGCGGAAACTTCAAGTACAAGAGGAACCACTTTCCCGAACCAGGTAGGCCTGGCCAGGGCACAAGAAGTAAGTAACGCTGTTAGATGAACTGCCCATGTCACAGAAACTGACTTATGTATTTAGTGATGGCCATGCCCCCCATTATCGAGAAGTACGCAACCGCTATTGCAGGTGCAGACGCCGTCGCGACAGCAAAGGCCACTGGAGTCGATGCCGTTCTCGACCTCGTGAACTCCGACGACGAGAAGAGTTTCGGTTCGGCGGCCTGGTACGTCACTACGTGCAGTGCGGAGGTCAGAGCCGGTCTTGACGCGGCCACCATCGAGGGCTGGCACGCTTTCTTGACAGAGTGTGTCAACACCCCGCCCGCTGCTGAGCGTGACACTCTGTGGACTGCGACCACGCCCAACGTCCAGTGAGGTGACTGAGAAACGTCACCAAATTGGGTCGGTGACAGAGCTTTTATTCATGGCGCATTGGGCTGTGGTAAGCCCAATGTATATTTCTTCACTCAAGGCGGAGTTTTCAGATGTAACGACTTGCTACGAATTTCCTATACAATTATACCAACTTCATTATCCATCATGTGTGCACCGTGTTTGTGTAGTGACTAGGTGACATCTCTCCATTCAAACGATACCTTACCGAAGGTAAATATCGTAAACCTGGCCAGTTAGCGTAACAAGATGTGGAGATACCAGGTGTTTACATAAAGAGTTAATCTTATATTGAATACATTATACTAAAGCAGCCTGACCACTGCAAATGAACGGCCGATGCGTTGCGTTAGCTGAAGAGAAAGAAGCAAACGAATGTAAGAGCGCTACCATGCTTAAATATATACAAGCAGACATATCATAAAGTCCTCCTACCAAATAATGTGTACCATCGTCCGCTTCAAATCGGTGACACCTCACCCCAAGCCCCAACATCTTCCCTCGCCATGACCTCTCCACACTCAGGACATGTGCATCCATCCAATCCATTCATACCCGAACACTGTCTGACCCACGCCTGCAAACACCCAACGCAAGTCGCAGGCTCGTGCCAACAATTCGCTGTGATCCTGCGCTCGCTGAACTCGAATACTGGCCTTGACGTCTTGCACAGAATGCACGTGCGCTCAATGGCTGGTGTGTTGCGGCGGGAACTAGGGGTCATTGCCCGAGGGCTAAGAGAAGCGTCGAAGGCGGGGCGCTGGTATAGTTGGGGAGCTGTGCAGGTGATGTTCGGGGAAGGCAGGGCGACTATGCTGCTACGTTGGGATTGCATCGATACTGGGCGTGCTTGGGATTGCCACGAAACAGGACGTCCTTGGGATTGCATCGAAACAGGCCGTGCTTGAGATTGCATCGATACTGGACGTACTTGGCGTAAGTTTTCGGCGGATAGCTGTGAGGGTAGTGTAGTTGGTGATAGCGAGTTTCCGCTGCTGCGGCGTCGCTCTGCGGAGGCGGCGGGACTTGGTGGGGCATCAGTCCAGGGCGCGAAGGGTGCTGGAAGGGGTGCTTCGAGTTGGGCTGACTTGACGTTCATGTCAAAGGGCGAGTAGGTTGGTGTCGGGATGAAGTCGACCGCCGAGAGACGTTTGGATGCTGCTGGGTCCTGGTTGGCTTCGGCTTCGTAGACCTGCAGGTTTTCCTGTGTTAAGTTCATTCTCCGCAGATCTTCGACAACGGTTGCAAACTTTTGCTGCTCATGTTGAGCTGAAGAGTCTCTTCTCCTAGCGCCAAAGTTCTTCAACGCTTGCGGTATGGTTGACCATCTGTGCTTGATCTTCTTCTCTGGTTTGTTCTTCTCTTCCGATGTCGCGAAGGCATCCAACGTGGGGTGTATTGGTGTTGCTGGCGTAGCAGAGAAGACTGGAGGGGGTGAAAACGCAAGTTTCGAGGATGTTACAGGCGTGGGTGGACCGACTTCGTCATCCCCGTACTGCTGATAAACCATGTCATTCTCAATGTTCTCCCCTGCGATGGCTTTAGGTGCACACCCTGACACGGGTCGCGAGCGGTTTTGTGGGTAGCTGTTGTTCCGTAGTCCTCGCGATGAGGCAATCTTGGTTCCGGAGCGATTTCGTTGGTGGTAGGTCGCGAAGGATGTAGGTCGTGGTCGCGGCTGCATTGGCGGGCTGTCGAGTGCAGTGGAGCTTTGAGGGTGATATGAGATGGGTCGTTGCGTTTGTGCACCGTTTGCATCGTTCATCGGTGGATATGTCCACTGCGTAGGGTTTACTTGTGGCCTCTCACATTCACAACTGCCGCGGGAAGAAATGCTGCTCCTGGGCTTGTCTGAACTGTCAAGATACGATGATGCAGGCCCTTGACCTGGTGTATTAGGGCTCATAGTGGCTGGCGAAGCAATCCATTCTGGCGATAACAGGTGTTGCGCGTTGTATGATGTCGGTCGTGTGAGCGGTAGCGGCCGTCGCTTAATCGGGGATGTATTGACTTTCGTGCTTGATTCTGTCTCCGGAAGCTTGCTCAATGTTTCTTCGGGATTGAAAGAGGAAGCCGGGCGGTTCGGATTCGTCCATTTGTCCAGCAGGTCAGAGTCGCTGTCCTCCTTTGGCTTCTCCTCGATTGGTTTGTCCTCAATCACTACCTTTTCGACGACGGCCTCCGTTTTCTGCTCTTGTATTACCGCTCGAGACTCGTCTTTTTCTTCTTCGACATCGGAAATCTCTAAATGCTCGTACATCGGTCGTTCCAACCATCGTGTTGTTACCGATTTTTCGCGTTGCAAATTTCTTAGAGCTTCCTCAGAATCTGCGATCAAGCCAAGCATGCGTTGCGCCTTTGCAGAATCCCTCTTAATCGGCCGTGGATGCCTCAGAAGTGGATGTACGTCATCTTGAACATGACTCTGCGCCACAGCCGCCATAGTTGTGAAGCCGTTCAGCCGAAACGAGGGAGGCCTAGAGAAATACCAACGACAGCGAACGTGGTTGGGGGGGATGAAACAGTGGGCACGAGCAACACAATAAAACAAGAGGCAGGATTAACCCCTCGTAAGAGCGTGGGACAGCGTCCCTCCATATCAGCAACATGCCGCGACCCTACCACTACCACGGACCCCGGCACGGTACGACTTTACTGTGTGGCTGGCAGCAGCACAGAACCGACAATCCGTTTCAAGCCCTTGCGCAGAAAGCCCGGAGCTGCGTAAATCACCGTTAGCTTGGCTCGCGCAACACTGCGCCTTCGATTATTCGTTGCTAGGGCCCGTATTGCGAGGCCTGCAGTCAGAGTAGTTCGGCGGTTTTGAGTGGTCCCCGCTGCGTGAGACGTATTTTTAGAACCAGTAGTAGGGCTTGGTGGGCATGGCTACGGATAGCCCACGCGATGCCGACACTTGTGGCCATTGACAAAATCTCCTGCAATGGTTCTAACTGCGTCGACATGAGGCTGCGAAGTATCACGATGACGACGCGTGGTTCGCGCTGGCGGTGTGAGCATCGCGTGATGGCTGGCGCAATCTCAGGTAACGAAAAAGATCAGCGAGCCACATAATCGACTGACGAACAGTGCCCGCTGTCGTGCCTGTGCTTCAATTTAGTTTCTGGAGTGGGTCTGTCGCCTCTGGTGCTCGAGACATGGGAGACCTGGAGCTCCTCGGCTTCTTGGGATCTATTTTGCTGATGAGTAGCCACTTGGTGTGCCACCCATTGTAGGGAGACGCGCATGCAGGCTAGGCGCCACCAAGGCGACAGAACTCAAGACGGATCAGTCCAGGCCTATCTCGCGCCTTCGAAGATCATGCAGCACACATGTAAGATGTTCGGGACGATCAGAAGAAGCAACGTGTCGGGCCCGCATTCTTGCAGGCTCTGGCATCTGTCGCCGATGAGTAAACTAGAACTTTAACTCTGAGTTGAACCCAGGGACAATGCACACAAAGCTGGCGTGAGTGGACGGACAATGCTATATGACCTGCGTTCGCCCGTTGGTAGATGGCTGTGCCGCATTTCGATATATTGCGAGGCGGACTAGGGTACCAGGCGTGGGCACAGTGAGAAGAGAGGCTGCGCCGCTCGGCTTGGGTGTGGCGGGTATCGATGAAGTCATTGTCTGTGGGCCTTGCAGCGACGTGATGCAGCCTGGCGACCTTTTGCACGCCTGTGTTGAGACTCCAAGCCATGGGTTTCGAGCGGAAGGGGGTTGGTGACTAAGCCGCTCACGCTAGTGCCAATGCGGCCGCTCTGCCAAGCCCTGGATCGCGAAACTTTGGAGAAGCTCACGGTGTCGTCGCCCCAATCACCCCAACCCCAATCTACCCGTCACCACCTGCTGCAAACATGGCCGGACCGCGCGCAGGAAACTCGAGGGCCAACGGCGCCGCCAGCGGGGACACGTCCAACAACAAGCAATCGCTCAACGAGCCCCTCGACAAGGAGCTCTACGGCGGAAACAATGGCGACTACGTCAGTTCCATCGCCGTTGCCGATGACGACGCCGACATGGACGACGTGCAGCTGAACGGCCGGAGCCTTGTGGGCCAATACACGGCATCCAAGGAGATGATGAACGAGTTTGCGCATGGTGATGCCGGAGAGGCGGATATCCTCGACAGTCGCGAGAAGCAGGCTCAGATCGCATCACGCGAAACCGACTACCAACGACGACGATTCGACCGCGCCCTTTCTCCGTCGCGAGCGGATCCATTCGCGAAGGATGGCGAAGATGGCGGCCAGTCGTACAAGGACGTGATGAAGCAACGCGAATTCGAGCGCGAAGAGGCGCGTGTGAAGAGGCTCATCGAGGAGAGGGAGAGGGACGGAGGCAACGAAGTCCTCGACCACAAGCCTACGCTCCAGGACGACGGATCCGCCCCTGTCGATGGCGACAAGACCCCACCCATGAAGAAGACTCGCAAGAGGAGACGCTGGGATGAGAGCGGCGACGGCGAAACACCTGCGATCAAAGAAGAGGCCGACGAGACCACGGCAGATGGCGAGCCTAAGAAGCGATCGCGATGGTCACCGGCACCCGAGGAAGAAAAGGCAGAAGACAAGTCCGCTGAGGCTGCTCAACCGGCTCGATCGCGTTGGGATACCACAGCTGTAGCCCCCGCCAGCGCCGCAACGCCTGCTCCCGCCACCAACGGCGCCCGTCCAGTCGCGCAGACGTTCGCATTCGGCACCGATATCTCCAACCGCAATGCTCCCTTATCCGACGAGCAGCTCGACATGATGCTGCCTGGTGAGGCTGAAGGCTACAAGGTCCTCGAGGCTCCTCCGGGGTACGAGCCAGTGCGGCGACCAGTGGGCATGCCAGCACTTCCCACGGGATACCAAGGCTTCTTGCTTCCGGAAGCAGACAACAGCTTGGCTGCCATGGGCAAGCAGCTGCCCACCGAGATCCCAGGTGTCGGTGATCTTCAGTTCTTCAAGAACGAGGACATGAAATACTTTGGAAAGCTCACAGACGGTGCAGACGAGAACGATATGACCGTCGAGGAACTCAAGGAGCGCAAGATCATGCGACTCTTGCTCAAGGTCAAGAACGGAACACCACCCATGCGAAAGACTGCGCTTCGACAACTTACCGACAACGCTCGGCAGTTCGGTGCTGGAGCCCTTTTTAACCAGATCTTGCCTCTGCTCATGGAGCGCACGTTGGAGGATCAAGAGCGCCACTTGCTCGTCAAAGTCATCGATCGTGTCCTCTACAAGCTCGACGACCTTGTTCGGCCCTACGTCCACAAGATCCTCGTCGTCATTGAGCCTCTCCTTATCGACCAAGACTACTACGCCCGTGTCGAAGGTCGAGAGATTATTTCTAACCTTGCAAAGGCCGCTGGTCTCGCACACATGATCAGTACGATGCGTCCCGATTTAGACCACCAAGACGAATACGTCCGAAACACCACCGCTCGAGCCTTCGCCGTCGTTGCATCTGCCCTCGGTATCCCCGCCCTCCTTCCTTTCCTCCGCGCTGTGTGTCGATCCAAGAAGTCGTGGCACGCACGTCACACTGGTGTGAAAATTGTTCAGCAGATCCCTATCCTTATGGGTTGTGCTATTCTTCCTCACCTCAAGGGACTTGTCGAGTGTATCGGCGACAACCTGAATGACGAACAGCCAAAGGTCCGCATGGTCACAGCTCTTGCACTTGCAGCTTTAGCTGAAGCCGCGAGCCCGTACGGTATCGAGTCATTCGACGATATTCTGAACCCTCTCTGGACCGGAGCCCGTCGCCAACGTGGTAAGGCTCTTGCATCCTTCCTGAAGGCGGTCGGTTATGTCATCCCGCTCATGGACGAGGAGTATTCCAACTACTATACCAGTCAGATCATGGAGATCGTCATTCGCGAGTTTCAATCACCCGATGAAGAGATGAAGAAGGTCGTGCTCAAGGTCGTTTCTCAGTGCTCGAACACCGCAGGAGTAACCCCAGTCTACCTCAAGGACAATGTTCTCCCTGAATTTTTCAAGCACTTCTGGGTACGCCGCATGGCTCTTGACAAGCGCAACTACCGACAAGTGGTGGACACGACCGTGGACCTGGCGCAGAAAGCTGGTGTTGCTGAGATCGTCGGCAGGATTGTTAACAACATGAAGGACGAGAACGAAGCATACCGCAAGATGACTGTCGAGACTGTCGACAAGGTTATCAGCACACTAGGAGCGCACGACGTCGACCAGCGTTTGGAAGAACAGCTAATTGATGGTGTGCTTGTTGCGTTCCAGGACCAAACCATCGAGGACCCCATTGTCATCGACGGTTTTGCTACGGTCGTCAACGCACTGGGTGAGCGTACCAAGACCTATCTCCCGCAGATCGTCGCAACAGTTCTTGCTAGGCTCAACAACAAATCCGCAACCGTCCGTCAGCAAGCAGCAGATCTCATCTCGCGAATCACCTTCGTGATGCAGAAGTGCGACGAGGACCCACAACTCATCAAGCTTGCGCAGGCGTTGTACGAATACCTTGGTGAGGAGTATCCTGAGGTTCTTGGTTCCATTCTCGGTGCTCTTCGTGCTATCGTCACAGTCGTCGGTCTCCACGCCATGCAACCGCCTATCAAGGATCTGTTGCCCCGTCTTACACCCATCCTTCGTAACCGACATGAGAAGGTACAGGAGAACACCATCGATCTGGTAGGACGTATTGCTGATCGAGGTGCAAACTACGTCAACCCTCGTGAGTGGATGCGTATCTGCTTCGAACTCTTGGACATGCTCAAGGCTCATAAGAAGGGTATTCGTCGTGCTGCCAACAACACCTTCGGTTATATTGCCAAAGCTATCGGTCCCCAGGATGTGCTGGCCACTTTGCTTGGTAATCTTCGAGTTCAGGAGCGTCAGTCCCGTGTCTGTACTGCCGTCGCCATTGGTATCGTCGCCGAAACTTGTGCGCCCTTCACTGTCCTACCGGCTCTTATGAACGAGTACCGCGTACCGGAGCTCAACGTACAGAATGGTGTCCTCAAATCATTGTCCTTCATGTTCGAGTACATCGGCGAGATGGCAAAGGACTATGTCTATGCCATCACACCACTTCTAGAGGATGCTCTCATCGACCGAGATCAAGTGCATCGCCAGACTGCCGCTTCGGTCGTCAAGCACGTTGCTCTTGGCTGTGTCGGTCTCGACTGCGAAGACGCGATGATTCACTTGCTCAACCTTCTTTGGCCAAACTTGTTCGAAACCAGTCCTCACGTCATCGACCGCATCATCGAGGCTATCGAAGGTGTCCGCAACGCGATCGGTACCCCGCTTGTCATGAACTACGTCTGGGCTGGTCTCTTCCATCCAGCACGCAAAGTGCGAAACCCTTACTGGCGCATCTACAACGATGCCTACGTTCAGAACGCCGACGCCATGGTCCCAGCTTTCCCAACTTTCGAGGAGGACGAGGTCAGGAGACATGAGCTGGATATTTTCATCTAAACGTAAGATCCCCAGTACCTTCTTTTGCTTTCTTTCCTGGGGCCACTACCCCGGGGATTTGTTGCACTTTCTTGCTTTCAGCGAACTGGGAATTGGTTATAGTTGGAACAATGGTAGGCCAACCCTGTCAGGGTCTGGGCTTGTCTAGCTTATCATGTACATCACAGTAGGGTTGGATCGGAGTATGCGGCGTTACAGTACGCTAAGATCAGAGAGAGCATGAGTCGCCATTACCAGGCCACTTCAGTTTAGGACCTCTTATGGTAACAAAAAGATAATCTGCAACCACTTTACACGCTGATCACCTTTAGGTTTCTGTGAAGTCATCTCATCTATCCCAGCCCTTGATCGTTGTCAGAAGGTAAGTCGGTGCTTGCCGCTGTCCTGTATGCTGAACCATCGAAGAGAACCCGCGCTCCCTACCAGAGGGGAGTACGTCTATGTCATTCACTCACACACATCATACCGGGATAAGTATATGTGCTCTTCACTTCTTTTCGTTCTTGGCCATCGAATACCATGTTGGACTCCACTCTCGTCGTTTGATAGCCCCGCACTATGATGATGGTCTTCGTCGGACTGTGCTCGAATGTTGCCGGCTCCAAGCTTTGATCTATTGCCACAGTCGCTGGCCTTCAAGCGGGTTAGAGATATTGATGGTATTCACTGTCTTACACGCCCAGCATCAGTTCAGAGTTATGATACAGCGTGAGTATGTTGGGCCGGTGTCATTAACTTTTGATACCAGAATATCAGCTGCGCAGTTCAACATCGCAAACTCAAGCATTTCCCAATCACAGCCCATCGGTTTGCAAGATCCTGTAACGCGTCCTTTATATCATTGCATGAAAAGTTATCATCCAGCGTTAAGAAAATTTCGAGTTCATGTCGCAGCTCATGGTTGAGAAAAGAAGTGGGCGATGCTGAGGTCGGGGAAAATCCCCAACCTTCTATTGGTGCGCGGACGAATGTATGCGATCGGATGCGCGCGAAACCTTGGCCGAGAAAGTCCCTAAACCCTAAATCCGGGTGCTGGTATCCTAGCAATATGCGTCAATGCTAGAGACGTTTGAGCGTGGTATGCGACATGAATGTCCGGGGAACGAATGAGTGCTGACGGAGCCTCAGCCGGGGGGTAACTGGAAGTACAGGCTCAAACACAAGCATAGTGAGTATCGCGGCGGTATCGTAGTCCCTATGAATCTACACATGTTCTTGGCAAGGATACATAAACACCTGGCATTTCACGTCAGCGTTTAGCAGAAACCTTGAGCAGCTCGTACAGACGAATAAGACCATCGTTTCTTACGTATCCTTATCAACTTGCTTCCACGAACTACCAAGCAACCCGATTCTTCTTACGCATCAACTGCGATGGCCACTGTTCGCAAAGTTAACTTCCTCAGCCATGGCATCAACGTAATCGGCGATCTATACCTACCCTCCCCAAACGCACCAGACCGCCAAAATGCCGCCCTTATTGTCGGCCACCCCGGTACATCTATCAAGGAACAAGCGTCTGGATTATATGCCAGAAAGCTAGCCGAACATGGCTTCATCACTCTCGCGTACGATGCAGCCTTCCAAGGTGAGAGCGAAGGCGAGCCACGTTACCTAGAAGATCCGTACCAACGAGTCGAGGACCTCAAGAGCGCTGTAACATTCCTTTCAACTCTTGACGGCGACGTTGACCCCGAAAGGATCGGAGTTGTTGGAATCTGTGCTTCTGGAGGCTACGCAATCTTCGCTTCACAGACTGATGTACGCATGAAGGCCGTGGCGACCGTAGTCGGCGTCTGCTTGGGTGGTATGCATCGCAACAGTTTGAGAGACGACTTTGGAAACATCAACCCAGAAACACTGCATCAGCGCCTGAGTTTTGCAGCGCAAGAACGCATCTCAGAAGCCAATGGAGGAAAGCCTGCCGCATTCAGCACGCTAGACGTTTTCGAAGAGGCAAAGTCATACTATCTGACTCCCCGCGGGTACCATCCCAAATGTAACAATCTGCAGCTTGTGAGGAGCTTCGAAAAGCTTTCCACATACGATTCTCTTGCTTTCATCGACTGGATCTCTCCGCGACCGCTGTTGATGATTACGGGAAGTTTGGCAGACACGGGTAATGGAGGCCCAGCCGATACCGCTTGCTACAGCAAGGACGCAATCAAGAAGGCCAAGGAGCCGAAGGAACTTTTCGTCATTGAAGGAAAAGGACATCTCGATTTGTATGCTGATACTGAGGAGAGTGTTCCAAAGCTAGCTGATTTCATGGGGAAGGCGCTATGTACTTAGAAGCCGCCGGTGTGTGCCAACACCTAGGTACATCCTATTGGCGTTAGCAACAGGGCGCCCTACGTATGACAACGCGACTCTTACGCGAAGTGGAGTTTCCCAGCTTGGACGTAGATGCAATGCGACACTTTAGGCAGCAGCCACTAGATCTCAATAAATATCCTCTCTAACAACAACCTCACCTGCTGTATCTAGGCACACAAAAACAGACTACTGTTCTGAACCATCTCATACCAAATTCGGAAGGCAAAGCTTCCTCAACTACTACATCATGTCCGATTCTGGCAAGTCCAACTCCGGTCCTCCTGGCGCGCCCCCAGCCGACGCTCCAACCAAAACCTACGACGCATCATGCCACTGCGGCGCATTCAAGTACTCCGTCACTGCGTCTCCACCTCTTGATGACCCCAGCGCGGTCCTAGTGGAATGTAACTGCAGTATCTGCGTATCGAACGGTTATCTTCTTATCTATGTGCCCAACGAGCGTATCGTCTTCTCAAACGGTAGCATCGAGCATTTCAAGGTAGGCAAATATGTCACTAGCAACATAGTAAATACCGCAAAAGATTAGGTCAGCTGATGTTAGTTCACAGTCTTATTCTTTCGGAACTAAGAGAATGGGCCACTACTTCTGTGGTACCTGCGGTGCATCATGCATGATCCGCTCCAAGGATCCCAGTTTCTTTACCGGTATGACGTGTATTAATGCACGCATGCTGCAGGGTGTTGAGATTGAGAAATTGAAGCGCAAGTCTGTCGACGGGAAGAGCTTCTGAGAGCTTGTAGTGGGGTTGTTGGCGCAGATGGTGTTAGTCGGGGAAATGGCGAACGAGGACCGGAGTTGGTGACGTGAGGGGCCGGTCGCTGTTCATTCGCTATGGTTCTGCATGTACAGTTCGTACTTGCTGACAAAATTCGGATATTCAAGATTATAAATGCGACTTTGTCCTACTGTAAGGCGTGCCATTGTTAGTGAAACTATAAAATCGGACACAAGAGGCTCAACTCTAGTACTTGAATCGGACATAACAGGTTCGGGCGGTAGTACGAGACATACGTTACATCGATAAATAGCTGACACAGTCTCCGTTCTCTGCATTGACCAATTCAGATACCTCCATACACTGAACAAGCGCTTTCCTAACTCATTCAAACTATGTCTCCATCACTCTCCACGCCCAACACGTCACCCACACCAACCTCACCAGGCCGTTGGGTTATAACAGAATTCGGCAAGCCATCCGTGCTAAAATGGGAGGCATTCGATCCCATGGCCGCGCTATCTGCTGGCGGAGTGCTTATTCGCATCCTGGTTGCTGGTATCGCTGGAGTCGACAATATTCAGCGTGTCGGCGGTTACCCTCATCCCCTAGCCAAGGCACCCGGCTTCACACCTGGATATGACCTCGTAGGCGAGATAGTTGCGCTGGGCGATGCTGTTCCAAAGGGAAGAGAGCTGAACATTGGAGACAGAGTCGCAGCGTTGAGCATGTTCGGCTCACACGCTACACACATCGTCTTGCCACACGAAGAAGTCATGAAACTGCAACTGGAAGACGACCTGCTGAAGACGTGCGCACTTCCACTAAACTACATGACTTCATGGGGCCTGTTGAAGCACAGTGGTGTCGATCTACGACCTGGCTCGAGCATCCTGATCGGGAGTGTGAGTGGAGGACTTGGAACAGCTATGGCTCAACTTGTCAAGGCATTCGACATGGGCATCAAGATGTTCGGTACATGTTCGCCGAGCAAGTTCGATTACGTGCGCTCACTGGGTGTGGAACCGCTTGACCGAAACGCCCCGGATCTTGTGGACCAGCTTTGTGGGCTGACGGATGGAAAGGGGGTGGATGTCGCATACGACGGTGTTGGTAGTGAGAAGAGCGTCCAAGACTTCCTCGCAGCAACCAAGCAAGACGTCGGCAAAGTGGTCGTCTTCGGAGTTATGGGGGGCATCGCTGCAGATGGGAGTAAGATGTTGGCGAACGTCGACGAGCTCCTTGAAGCAATACTGCAGCCACCGCGAGTAAGCTTCTGGGCGCTTGATATTGAATACCCAAAGAAAGAAGTGGCGGAATTCTTTGCGCTTGTAGAGAAGGTGAGGGAAGGGAAATTGGACCCGGTCATCGCGAAACTGATGAGACTGAGCGATGCAATTGAAGCGCATGAGCTTCTTATTCATGGAAGTGCGATTAAGGGGAAGATGTTGTTTGTAGTGGACGAAGAGCTAGCTAAGTCCCATGGCATTTAGAATGTTTTTGGCAGAAGAACCCTGCGAGAAATATATGAGATGAGTTTACAGCTGTAGCAGAAACTGTTCGGAGCTGTGACCGAGTAAGAGATACTCAAATGTTGCACAGTAAGAACGCTAGTGAAGCGACACCATGAATGAAACCGTGACGTGTGACATATAGACAACGTCTCTCGGTGACACACATCCGAGAGAAAACGAAACGGAAAAGTTCTCTTCGCACACATTCGGCAGGTGTGCCGCCATAGTCTTGTTCCCGTCACTCATACGGCTGTAGGGTCTCCGGTGTTCCGGAAGAGCTGTGTCTTTTGACTTGTGCATACATGGTACTAGGAAATATGCTCATTAACTTCGAATCTGGAACATAGGCATTGGTTGGATACATCGCACTTGTCGTAGGAGCTTGTTCACTAAATTCTGGGAAGTAGTAACCTGGGTTTGGCTCAACCATTTGCTGAGGGACCGCACCCCAGGTTGCAGGTATCGTGGTCATTGCTGGTGGTGGCCAAGAATTGTTTTGCCACGTTGGTGACACATCTGAAACTGAGTAGTAACCAGGGTTCGGCGTAGAAATCAATGGCGATGGCGTGGGTGCTGTTTGTATGTCTTTGGCAAGGATCGTAGCCGTGACCTGGGGGCACTCATTCTGCACCCGCTTTCGCAATGATCCTGGCAGGCCGATATTGTTCTCGCATAGCCGTTCTAATAGACTCTCAATGATGTTCTCCAGATTGTCTATCTTCTCGTTGCATCGTCGCTGTGACTGCACATTCTCATTCTTCGTTGTGATCAAGTCGTTTTCTAGTGTACTGATACGTCTCTCTTTGGCTTCAACATCTCGCATGAGCTGCGCGCATATCTCATTGCCCCTGGCAAGAGCTTGTCGTTTGGATGGCCTCCGTATCTGGCTATGCTCGAAACCAGGCCCTGGCAGGAAGTTGGGCTCCAGTGAGTCTGATCCAGGATTCACTAGCTTCCATATGAACTTCCATCTCTCTTCTTTAGAGAGTGTCGCCCAGGAAGGGCACCTCTCGGACCGACGATGATGAGACGCTGTGTCGGCCAAGCGATCAGAGCAGGAAATGCCAATGCAACGTGGCTCGCAACCTTCTGAGGTATGTTTCTGCAGCACATCACCCGCTTTCTTCTCTAAATCCTCGATTGGCAAAAGTTTGCAACAATCCTTGCATATGACGATTCGGTGGCGAACTTTCAGGCTTCTTAGTAGCTCCGATATCGTGGTGTTCGTTCCTTGACATTGATGCATTTCAAGCAGTGGACAAGGCATCTGATCAGAATATATCGGTCGATCCGGTGCGTCCGAATGGGCCGGATCTCGCTGTCTATTCGGCTTCTTCCGAGGAAGTTGATCCTCTTCATCGTCTCGCCCTGAAGCCCTTATGCCTGGGGAAAGACTACTCTTTCTGGCTCCCCCAGTTGAGAATGGATTCGACGTTGCAGAGCTCTTCGAAGAGCCATTTGACGCAGAACCTCTCTCTGTCGTTCGCGGTGAGATTATAGCATCGATATCGTACGATGGAGTTCCACAAACTAGCGATGGCTCGCGAGTATCGTAGCCTCGGTCGTTGTCTTGAAGACTATTCCAAAGCTCAAGGACAAGCGTTCTTGTTGATGGTATTGAAGCGTCTATCGTACCCAAGACTTGCGCTGGTACAGCTGGAAAACCCCGATTGCTGATGCTGGCATTCGTACTCGGTGGGGAATCCATAGCGGAGAAGATACTGCGATCTCTAGTCGCGTCGACCCATTTCAGTATCCCATCTTCCACAGCGTGTCGTTGATCCGCATTGCTCGTATCGTATTCGCAGATCGAATTCGATTGGTCTTTGACTTTGGTGCTTGGAACTTCCATGGCCAGAGTGGTGGGTACGATGATGCCCTGCGTATCCTGTCGGTCTTCCCCTGCCATCAAAGTTTCGTGTCTAGGGCAATTGCACCGCTTCTCTGTGATTGAAGGTAGCTGTGTTCTCGCGATGGAATTTTCTGTGAAATCGAACGAAGTTGGTCTCTCTGGTACGGGAGACCAGAAACTCTGTGGAGAGAGCGGTGGGAATATAGACGTCGCTGAGACCGAGTCTCCGTCATCTTGAGGTTCAAGCTTCACAGCCTGTGTTCCGATACTACTCGTAGTCTTCACACGTACTAGACGGTTCTTCCGATGAAGGACTGGAGTTACTTGTCTGCTCGAGGAGTAGTCAGAAACGGAAGATCCCCTGGATTCGCTGTCGTAATCATCCTCCCCCAACAGTGAGGAAACATCCGGAGGGCAACTCGTGGGGACATCAAGCAAGCCAGGAGAGGCAAAAGGTAGCTTGTAGTAGTCGCGGCACAGATAGTTGGGGTCGATGCTTTTCTTTCGCTGCCGCGACGACTTGCTTCGAAGGTAACATGATTCCGGCTGTTGTATGCTCATGCGTGCGTATGTTGCGATGATTGTCGGAAGGAACTAGGAGTGCTATATTAGACAAAATAGGCTTTGAGAAGACTGTATATGAACTGTGGAAAAAGCAATGACATATATGAGAGTAAGCCTTGGCTCTCCATTGGCAGAAGGTGCGGGCGGAGCCGTCATGGGTAGGCGGCTACCTCTCAAGATGACCAATGACGCGTCGTCGCAAATGGCCAGCGACGGGAACAAATTGTTCAGCTCCCAAAACGTGATTGACTGGACGTCATCTATGCAGCCAAGACATAGTCTACAGCTCGCATGGAAGAGAGCTACCACTTTCGGATGCGAGCAGATTGTTCGACCACATCGGCCTTGTACACAATTTCCAGACCTATTGTACCATGAATTCCCCAACCACGGTGCACTGTAGGCATCAGATTCCCTCCTCAAGCAAAGTGTCGGGCTTTAAGATGTTTTTGTCTGAGAGTTATCGAATCGGTGTTGCAACATGTCATATACCGGCCTGTATCGTATCTGAGTTCATGAAGACGATGAGGAAACGCTCATCCCGTCCAGAACCACCACAGACCAATGAGCCCGACATTCGGCGCCACTGAACTTGAGCAAGCCATGGAAACTATCGTGTTCAGTCAACAGCTCCATCGGGAGCTTGAAATCTGGATCGGATACACCAAACACGGCCGCAACTACATTGACAAGCAGACTAAAGCAGTCGACACGGAACAACAAATACTCTATCTCATCGAATACTGCAGGCTATGCTTCAGCGCCACAGAGCGCATCATCTCACGCTGGGTGTGCTGCAAAAGGCCCATCGTCCAGATATGCGAGATCAACGCCGTAAGTCCATTGCCAGACAATAACTGGCACAGAACTCAATGCTGATCATGTCCAGCCCTCATTCCGAGGACGTACCTTTCCTCTGGAGGTGCCCTTCGAAAACGTCGAGACATCACATGCGCTATCGGCTGCTTTGCTGCGACCGGGGCTACTACGTGAGAGTGGGAGGATGTTCCACGAAACGGAATCGTTCGATGTGGAGAACACAGAGGCATCACCGAAGCGGAAAGTCTTGTGCATTGGCCATGTCGTCGACAAAACGTATCTAGCATGGCCGCTAGCCCTATCCTTCGTCATCGCGACAGTTGTAGCGGTCACCGCAGGAGTCGCAACCCACAGCGTATCGGCAGGTGCGGAGCTAGGGGGTTTCATCGGCGTCGGTGTCGTATTGTCATGGTCGTACATCCTGTGGCTCCTAGGATAGCTCATGCATCTATGCGTCTGAACCTCTGACCACCGTCTTCATCTCTCTCTAGCAAACCCCTCATCTCTTTAGCCCTCTTCTCTACCTCTCGTGCACTGCCTATTCGACTTTCTTCGGGATGCCATCCTTCAATGTGCGTGAATAACGGTACGATGGCAGAGCTCTTCCAGGCCACTACGCCCCTCCTCCATGTATATACGAGCGTAGCTACGAAGAACGCAATGCCCATGATGACTTCAACAACTGGTACGCTTATCCAGGCCCAGTGGACTTTTATGTATTGCTCCGTCGTGATTGTTCTACCAGGGAGTTTGATGCTGCTAATTCCCGTATTGAAAGCGTACGTCATGGAAGTGCTGATAGCCTCCACAGTTTGCGTAAGGTTTGTGGAGTTGTACAGAGCGAGACCGTATGCGTCGCGTAGCGAAGAGGAGAAAACGTCGGAGAGAAATGTCTTGATACCCTTGTTGTCGCCTGCGTTGATGCTGAAAGTCGTGTTACCCGTGAGCGTTGTAGTCTCATCTGAAAGGTTGAAAGAGGCCCACTGTATCTCTTCGCCATATGACTTGGGGATACCGGAGAGCTCATGGTCTTGAATGATACCGAGGTTGAAGGTACCGTTCACGACGGTCATGTTGCGGACATGCCGACCGACCCAACGCATGTTGCACTCTGTGATATCGGGGGCTTCAATGCTATACTGCCCTATCATGTTGGCTGTTGCGAAGCTGATTATGGAGCTGTTGAATGCAGCGCCATCGTTGGACTCACTCGAGTGAATACGAGCGGTACTGTTGAACCAAGTTCCCTTTTCGCCTCCTGAGCTAGTACTCCGAGACGATTTGATTAAAAAGCCAGTGGGAGTTGTATAGTTGCATGCTAAGCCTGCGTGTATCCTACCGCAGACGATTTGAGAGATGGATGTGACATTTGTACAATTGCTAGCCACTGCCAGGGTTGTAAAGTCATCCCATTGGCAGTTTCCAGTCTGACATTCCACTTGTACTGGTGCACTGAGGTTGTAGAGTCCATTCAGGATAGCGCCTTGTATCTTGGGGTCCATCATCCTGTCTGCTCGCTTTGTAAGCCTGAAAACGACCTCTAATGAATCAAGCTCAGAAGCTTACCTATGGTCCCTCCTCCAGTGACGCCTCTGGAAGCACCTGAATCGTAAACTTGATTCCTATAGAAACTTGCGCCGGAGGTTTCAAAATGCAGTCTCGAAGGGTAAGAAAGCAACTGCTGCGACAAAGGGCCCATGGCGAGGGATAGTATCGTGATAAGAGAACCCCATGTTGCCAACTTAGTTTTAAGATGCAATCCCCAAACGAGTTCCAGAGAGCCCCAAGGTCCACGACTGGCGTCGTCGAAGATTTGCATCTCTCGCAGCGGGCGTGGTGACCTGACCAAGTGAATCCACTTAAGTTGACTCAAGCATGATGCAACTGATACTATCAGGGCTGTCCGCGATAGGGTCGAAAGAAGTGCAACAACGGTGTTTAGCGTGATATTGTGAACAAAATGCCAATCAGACAAGGGTCTCTCCTGGTAGACTTTTAGTATGATTATTATGGCAACAACGCACAGGAGACTGAAGACTGCGGATGCAACCTCCCACCGCCAATCTCCCCAATGAAAGCTTCCAGAACGCTTCGGTGGATCGTAGTGCGTTCTAACAATGGCCTGCTCCTTCGAAGATCTGGATTCTGGTCCTTCTGAACTCCATGCTAGGTTGTTACCGAGCAGTCTTTCGGTGTGAGTGGCCGGGTCGTGATCTGGGATACCATGTAAACGATCCTGCTTGAGACCGCCTGTAAGTGGGTCTGCCCTGACTGGAGCGGTGGCCGTCGGAAGGTACTCTTGGCTGAGCTCCAAGGAACACATAGAGGCAGAGCGAGATGAAGCCATGCTCAGGATCCGGTGGAGCAGCGATAACTTCGTTTGTCAAGATCTGCGAGGAGTCGACAGGACTAAGTATTGTTACATGCGAGAGGCCGCTGGCCTAGTGGCTTCGGTGGCTTCGGCTGGGTGGGGGCCAAAAGCGGCTGAGGTGTTGTACAGATTCTGACCATTGGCTATGGTTTGGCAAGGCGTCCTGCCTAGTAACACCTGACGCTGTGTTCAACGATCTGCAACGCACGCGAATATACCTGTGTCAAACAACAGTGATACACCTCATACAAGAAAAAAACTAAACAGGTCTAGAGCCTACATTAACGCTAATTCACCTATCTTGTAGGGTTTTAATTTGATGTAGGCTGCAGGCCTGTTCAGCTTTTTTCTTGGTTGGCGTGGATAGGTCTCCTGACGGCTAGGATGATGTGGACGGTAACACCAAAAGAACTTGATCATTTCGAGATTGATATTGGACGTGGCAAAACTATCGCAGGGGTATCTTGGTGTTCGAAAGCAAAGGAGGCAGGAACGTAGCTCGAAGTATTACAACTCATCGAATGCGCGAAGTCGCTCATCGTCATCTAGTACAGGCTGCGCTTCGGGGGTCTCCATTTTTGGACTTGCAGTACTAGATGACGGCCCTATAATTGCCTCTTTTGCTATGTCTGGAATGTCGGCCTTCAGAATTGCCTCTCTGGTCGCAGGATCGAGTGTGTTCTTCGGTTCGTGTGGGTTATCGGTCGGTTGCGACGGGCGGAAGACAACGAGGGCTAGTATGAGAGCAGCTACGAAGCCCACTATAGCCCAGAATATGCGCACGCGATCTGTGTGATGTCAGTTGAAACGGAAACAAAGGAAGGTTGTGAGGATAGCCATACGGGTGTTCTTTGCCTGCCACTGCGCTTCCGACTTGGCCCTCGCATCGACACGCTCTTTGGCTCGTTCGAGCCTCGCCGTCAGTGCATCAGCTTTCTCTTTGCCCGCCTTGATGCGCTCTTCCAACCCGCTCACTTGCTCCTGTTGCGTCTTGAAGCCATCAAAGGCTTCCACTTGGCCAGTCACATCCTCCAGCAACTCTGTCGTGTCCGACTCGAAGTTTTCGTGGAGCTCCTTGGTCAGGCCAGAGAGCTCTTGCAGTGTTCCGATGGTCTGGCGCAATACAGAGACCTTCTCGAGAATAGAATAGTAGGTGTCGTCTAGGCGGCGCGACGTCTTGAGAGACTGGTCGGAAAGGGTCTGCAGAACCGCACGAAGGTCTCTGCGGGCCATGTTAGAAGAGGCATCTTGGTGGAATGCTGCGGGCCTGATAGTGAATGACGCAGACGCACCGTTCTCTAGCCTCAACTCTCTTAGCCTCTAGCTCCACATCCGCCTGCCGGATTGGTCTCCGCGGCGGGATGGTGATGCCTGGAGTGCTTTCCTCCTTCCCATGCACGCTGCCATCCGCCTGGCCTGGTGCGACGCTCTCCCTGCGACTGTGACTGGGGCTCGTGTCTCTGCTCCCTCGCGCCTGCCTCAGCAGGTCTCCGAAGCTGGTGGGCGGCTGTATCTGGATGGCTGACTGCATCGCCTCTTTGGCAGCATGGCGTCGGCTGGAGCTGTGGCGGTGCCGGTCATCGTGACGGTCGTGGTGGTGTCGCGACGACTTGTGCTTGTGCAGGTGGGAATGCGACTTCTTCTCGGGGTCAGTCGTCACGCGCGTCGTCGAACGGGAGCTGTAGAGGTTGGGACGGAAAGACCTGGGGTCGGCCAGGCCGGCATGGAGGTGAAGCTGTCCGTCCATGTCATGGTGGTGGTTGGGTCGGCGCAACGAGGCAGTTGTCGGTGCTGCTGGGTTCCAAGATCGACTTCCGAGTTTCGCGTGTCATTGCAGGGGTCTCCTTCCGCTAGCCAGCTGGGGAGGCGCATGTGAAGAGAGTCATGAAACAGCCGCCTAGACACTCATGATGATTGTGACTTTGCAGATATTGAACTCGAATTGCTTGTGCACGCAATTCCACGTCTGTGGGTATGATACTTTCAGTACTGACTTCAGATTCTTTGATCATGTACAGGATTCTAATGATTGCTTTTTGCTGCGTCTTCCACTGTGGAAGTCTCGATAGGGTATCATTGCTTGCATCCGCCCTACAGACTGGACTTCTCTGAACTGGTGCCGGTCGCTCTTGCTTTCCCGGTGGTTTCTAGGCTGTGCAGTCGCGCCTGCCTCTGCACCTTTACAACACCCTCCCGAAGCGGCATTTTCTTGGCCGCATTATATGCTTCTGCTTTAGTCTAACCGACCCGAGCTCATGACTTCAGCATCTTATTTCGCTTCTCCCTCCTCTTCAGGCGCTCGACGCGCTTCTTGTGCATCTTCTCCTCCATCTGGGCGAATCGCTCTCGTTCTGCTTTGGCGGCGCGCTTGGTCTTGATGGCTTCGACTCGTCGCTATTGCACAGTCAGTTCCTGTCTATTTGTAACCAAAAGCCGTGGTTTCCTACCTGTCTCTCAGACTCCTTCTCGTCCTTCAGCTCCTTCTCCTTCGCCTTGACAGCAGCGAGCGCTTTCCTCTCCTCACTGCGCTTCTCCCATGAGGTCTGGCCAGCCTTTGGTCGGAAGGGGCCCTTGTTGTCGTGCCATTGCTTGCCTGGGGAAAGTTAGATTGCCATGTCGCAATGGTGTGCCGCACTCAGCTGTCGCATACCGTTCTTTTTCATGCCCTTGACAGGGGCAGTTTCCGTCGCAGGAGGCGCCTCGATTATCACAGATTCAGACATGGTTGCAGTGTTGCGCGACCAGTGGATCTCGCAGAAGTTCTCGAACCCAGAACACGGCGGCGCGAGAAAAGTTAATGCCGATTATCGATAACTAGCGCACTTTGCCGGCGCGGGCTGCCAGCCAGGGATCCCCAAATTCCGCCCAACTCAAACGTTATCAGATCGAATTGATCTGATAAGCTGCATCAGCAGAAGTGCGGCCGGAGCGCGTTCCCAACTGCTTGTTGCCTCCATACTTTATTCGCGCATGCAGATGGTCTGGCTTAGTAGGCGCTGTGCGCTTTCCACTCTTGTAATACTTTCTTCCGATACTGCAGAATTTTCCTAGGCTAGCTAAAGAAAGGTCGACCCTGTTTGGTACAACGTTGGGCGTTATCATCTTCTCCATCCCCGTCGCACACACGGCCCGCTACATGCTCCCTCGAGCAAACTCTCTTCGTCGTGTTACACACTTCCGAACCTTCCTCCACTCGCCATAACGCAAACGCTACCGGTGTACTCTATCATTGACATGGGCTCCGATTCATAACAGTAGCCACGCGCCCTCTCACCGCCCACGACTCTTCGCACGCAACATGCGCTCGGCCTCATAACCATACATTCAATACAATCACACATATCCGTTGACGAGCCACATACATTCCGCATTCATGGAAGCACAAGAGAGTCCGGTGTCGGTGGTGGGGGGAAGAGGCCGGCTGCCCAACCCAGTCATAATGGAAGAGGTCCGGAGCCCTGCTGCTGCACATACCATAGGCAAGGGCGAAGAGGCCCTGAAGGATGTTCTCTGTGGATCCGCAGCTGGAATTGTCGGAAAGTACATCGAGTACCCCTTCGACACGGTCAAAGTTCGGCTACAGTCACAGCCCGACCAGGTGCCACTCCGCTACACCGGGCCATTGGACTGCTTCAAGAAGTCCTTACAGCAGGATGGCTTCCTTGGAATATACCGGGGGATCAGTGCGCCTCTGGTGGGAGCTGCTGTAGAGACGAGCACATTGTTCTTTAGTGTGAGTAGTATCTCAATGAGGAAGGGGACCAAGCTGATGTGGTTCGCAGTATCGTCTGGCTGGCGATGCCCTCAAGTCCTCGGGATTTTATCCTGAACTGAAACGACACCCGGAGCGAGATCTGCCCTATTCCGGCATGCTCTTTTGCGGAATGGTCGCAGGCGCCATCACATCACTCTTCTTAACACCGATTGAACTCGTTAAATGCAAGATGCAAGTTCCCCTAGAAACAACCGGCAGCGTCGTAGCCGCACCAACTATCAGAGGAGTCATTGCTTCCATCTATCGTCACCAGGGCCTCAAGGGCTACTGGCACGGACAATTTGGAACCTTGATTCGCGAGACAGGAGGCGGCGCGGCATGGTTCGGTGGCTATGAAGGCATGAAGATCCTGTTCAAGG